TAATTTCACAAAAAATAATTGAATATCAATTCAATAAAAATTTAATTCATATTAATATAATTACAAATTTTTTGTAAGTCATACTCGTCCAGCAATCTCTTACTTCCTGGCCTCTGCAATAATGTACAATAGTATCAAAACGTAAACAGTTTTTTAAAATCTGTAATTGAACTAAATTTAATATGTTTCACTTGTATATATTTCGTCGGTTTGTACTTAGACCTAAGTATAAAGGTTACAATGTCAGCCTGAATTATTAAGTATATAAAATATTGTCCACTCCCTACTTTCATGCAGACGTCACAATTCAATAACTTTTTGATATAGCAGAATTTTGATTTTGATTATTTAGTGAGGTATCAAAATGAGCCAGACATAAAATACTTAAAAAATTTAATAATAAAATTATGACTATTTCAAAACTTAACTGTAAACTTATATATTAAAAAACAACTCAATGTCATTCATTATGTACACAAAATTTCGATTTTCATTAATATTTTATTAGGCACATTCGGTTTTTATTCCCTTAGAAGTTATAAATAATTTAATATCATCAATTCTGTATCGCACATGTCTAAAGTTTAACTATGTTCGATAGGTCCATAAATAATCTTATTTATGTCATAATTAGTGCAAACGTACAGATCTTATATGTATGAAGTGTTTACTAACGACGACTTATAAATGTACGATTAAATTAATTAAGAATAAAAATGGTCGCAATAACGTACCTTGGTGTACGCCTACGTAGTAAGTAAGCGAATTAGGGTAGGCTTACGACTGTTTAATTATACAAATCATAATTTCTTTTCACAGCTATTGGAAAGCTATTGGTGTGTGGTTCCAGGTGACGAATTTACATTAGTATATTTCTCGTAGATTACATCCAGGGTAGTGAAAATAATTTTGGAGTAGCTTGCATCCAAAAGTCTACTTTTATATATTTGGTGACCGTGGCGATGATTAAACTCATATATACGTCCCACTGCTGGGCACGGGTCTCCTTTTAGGAGGGTTTAGGCCATAGTCCGTCACCCTGATCCAATGCGGGTTGGGGTCTCGCTTTTCGAGGGTTGTGAACCTTCTTCGACGTGCAGGTTTCATAACGATGTTTTCCTTCATCGAAAAGATCATAATAAATATTAAATTAACCGAGAAAATAAACTCTGACATCCGTATTCAAACCCATAGACTCTGCTTGAGATGCGATATGTCTAACCAGGCTACCAAGGCTTTATACGAGTTTTACACGGCCTATATGAGTAAAGTAATATAATTTTATCCGACTACAGACATTTTGAGTTATGGAATGTTACTATAATAAAATATTTTTTTTATTAAACTCATTTTTGCATTACAAATAGTGTGTCATAGAAACCACATCTCTTATACAATAAGTACAATTATAGGCTACTTTATAATGAGATTCTCATAAAATATGCTAATAAAATAATTATATTTTTTTTTATATGAAAATATACTACAGGACGTCACAAAACGTTGCGATCGTATTGTAAATAATGATCATATAAATGGCAATAAATAATTTCAAAATTCCCGTTAATAATAATTGGTTTCACATAAAATTTAATAACAAAATTTTGTATA